ACGGTCCATTGTAAGAACTAAGAAGGCATGTTGGTCCATTTGTGTAAACAAACTATAGATTTTATTCAGCTTTCCCCAGTTTATCTACGAATGTCCTTTCCTGTTCTAGGACTCAGGCCAGGACACATTATGCATTTAGTCATCATGTCTCCTTGGTCTCGTCTATTTGTGACAGTCTCTGTCTTCCCTTGTCTTTCATCACTGACACTGTGAGCCAGGTGTAGTGCAGACCATCCTTCCGTTTGGTTTTGCCTGACAGTGTTTCTCCTACTGGGACTGGGGATGTGGGTTTTGAGGAACAGTGAAGTATTCTTCTCATCATATAGCAGATCAACATGACTTATTCCTGATGATACTAACCCTAACCACTTGGTTAAGGATGGACCTGCTAGGTTTCTCCCCTGTCAAGGAACTATTTCCCTCCCCTAACTCGATTCTTTAAAATGAAACAAACTCACTAAATCCAACCCACACTCCTGAAAGGGGGGTTACCTACATATATTGTTTGGAATTCTTCTGTAAGGAATACTTGTCTCTTTTACCCCACTTATTTGCCTGTTTAATCATTTGTTTATATCATGATGGACTTGTGTTTACTTATGTTATACTTTGGGTTAGAACACAATACGACGTTATTTATTTTGCTGCTCAAACTATTCCAGCTCTAGCTACTGGAGCTCTTTCAGTTAGCTCTGTCTGGTGTCCTTGCGACATGCCCCCATGGCTGTGCATTGCCTCGTGTTTTAATATTTTTACTGATTTTTTACAGAGAGAGGAAGGGAGATGGAGAAAGAGAAACATCGATGGGAGAGCAGAATGTCAATCATGACTGTGCGGGTTTTTGTTTCTTGTTTTGTTTTTGTTTGAGCATTTTCTGACTTCCTTGCTCTGGATGTTACAGGTCCATCTTACAAATTCATTGTTCCAGCTCTAGAATCAGCTATTTGTCCAAGGACCCTGGTTCCTTTTGTTGAAAATAGTAAGAGAAACCAAAAACTAGGCACTGGGTATGCATGTTGTTACTGGCTAATGCAGATTTTTCTCCAAATAAAATAACTGAACATGTTTCGCATCAGAGAGATGCAGATTTTTACTACCTGTGTTAATCTGGGCAAGTTACTTCACCACATTGGGTCTTAGTTTCCTTATCCATGTGTAAGGATAATGAAAATCACTAAAAGGGTTATTGTGGGGTCAAGGGGAATAACATTGAAGGAACTTTTTGTTTTTGATACTAGAGGGTTATATTTTTATTTTTATTTAAAAAACATTTTTTTCTTTATTGATTTCAGAGAGAGAGGGCAAGAGAGATAGAAACATCGATGAGAGAGAACATTGATCTGCCACCTCCTACATGCCCCCCACTGGGGATTTGGCCCACAACCTGGGCATGTGCTCCAACCAGCAATCAAACCAGTGACCTCTTGGTGCATGGGTCAGTGCTCAACCACTGAGCCACACTGGCCAGGCTAGAGGGTCATATTTTTTAAAATATCTTCAAAACATCAGTGATCTGACAAAACAACAACATCGAAAGTTATAGGAAAATGGGAACCAAAACAAACAAACAAGAAAATTGCATTTGCCTTAAAGACATTTGCCATTTCCAGTAAATCTGAATTTTCACTTTGACAGCCTCACGGTGGTTGGGGTGAGGTGGGGAGTGAAGATAGTCAAAATCAGGGCCAGTACCAGGCAAGAAATTTAACAGACAACAAGTTGAACACCAAAGAGTTACAACTGTGGGGGAGGGTAAAGAAATTAGTGCCCTGCCCTGGCCAGTTTAGCTCAGCAGTTAGAGTAACAGTTTGATTCCAAGTCAAGGGCACATACTTGGGTTGCAGGTTCAATCCTTGGCCCTGGTCAGGGTCATGCGGGAGGGCAACCAGTCGATGTAGCTCTCTCACATTGATGTTTCTCTCTCCCTCCCTCCTACTCTATCTAAAAATTCATGGAAAAATGTCCTCAGGTGAGGATTAACAAGAAAGAAAGAAAGAAAGAAAGAAAGAAAGAAAGAAAGAAAGAAAGAAAGAAAGAAAGAAAGAAAGAAAGAAAGAAAGAAAGAAAGAAAGGAGGGAGGGAGGGAGGGAGGGAGGGAGGGAGGGAGGGAGGGAGGGAGGGAGGGAAGAAAGAAAGAAAGAAAGAAAGAAAGAAAGAAAGAAAGAAAGAAAGAAAGAAAGAAAGAAAGAAAGAAAGAAAGAAAGAAAGAAAGAAATTAGTGCCCTTACTTGAATTCTTTGAGTCTTCCAGGAAACCTCAAGCCTTAGGTGGATCTCAAACTGAGAGTACATTCAGATGCCTTACAAGAGAAAGAAGAAAGTATCTTCAATTTGGCCTTCATATAAATGTTACAAATCACTTTTCAGTAACAATGACTAGCACACACTAAAGATAATTAGAGACATAGCAGAAGCAACAGACAAAAATAGACCTGTAAAGACGTAAACTATTGGAATTATTAGCTACAGACTATATAATAACTATGCCTCAATGCATAAAGAAATAAAAGACAAAACTGACTATATCTTTGGGGAACAGGAAACTAGAAAGTGATGTGGATGATAAAAAAAATATATTTAAAAAAATCCTAACGACTGGGATTAAGATTTGATGGGCGAGTTAACCAGTACACTAGATGCACCCGAGGGAAGGATCAGTAACCGAAGCATTATCACTGAAGGCATCCAGCTCAGATTTCGTGATACTGACCATCCCCGTCGCTTCTTGCTCCTTCACGAGTGCACCTCCCACTGAGCAAGGGTCCCCGACATTTAGTGAAGAGAAGCTCCTGATAATATTTCTGAAACCTGCGGTTCCTGAAAAGGAGTGTGGGAAAGCAGCGTTGTGCCGGCTCCCCTGGCCTCTCCCTCTGGGAGTTGTAAGAAAGCCCAGAGAGGGGGCAGCGTTCATGCTGGCAGCTCAGCATGAGCAGGAGGCAGCCTTGAGACGTCCCACAGACCCAAGCACCCCAGATCTCACCCCACAATGCAGCTTCCTCCACGCTGCCATGAGGACCTGGTACATGACAAAAGCACCACACGAACACAGAAGTGGGCATTTTCATGGAGGGTAGTCTCCAAAGACTACTGCCAGCAAGTCCTTTCTTCCCTAGATGTCCACACCACCCCTCAGGTCGAGAGGAGAGGTCTTTCCCCAGCCCGAGTCCGTGCTGGCTTTGTGATTTCCTCTGGCCGGCAGAATGCAGCGGAAGTCATTTGTATCAGTTCTGGGTCTGGCTTTGGAGATGACTGGCATCTCCCACTTTCTCCTTGGAAGCCAGCCATCGTGAAAACATTCGGCCACCCTGAGCCTGCTATGCTGTACGGACGCCCAGGCTCGGCCACACGGAGAGACAGTGGCAGCAGCCCCCGCTGTCCCTGCGGAGGTGACTACCATGAGAGGGAAGCAGCCACCTCAGCAAAGAACCCCTGCAGGCACCGCATGGAACAGAAAAGCTACCTGGCTGTCGGCAAAATCATGAGAATTGTTACATGGCTATTGTTTTAAGCCACCAAGTTTAAGGGATCATTTGTTATGTGGCGCAGATAACCGGACAGCTTTTACATGCAATTTTCTTCATAATCTCTGTTCTCCTGAAAAGGAGAAAGATGCTTCAAGGTTATTCGGGGCCCACGGCCATCTAGCTCCTGCGGACTGCGCCAGGTTTTTCTGTCACCCGAGGATTACTGTCCCTGCCCTAAGTACCCGTTTCTAAGAGTTTGCTCGCGCCATCAGCCCTGCCTGGAGGCTCAGCGGCACTGCCGCTCCTCACAGGAACCACCGCCTCCACTTCGAACTGTCCCCTCTTCAAGGTCAAGGATGACATTCACTCCCCAGTGACGCCTGTCCTCTGAACTCTGAGCTGATTCTTGTGGCCCAGTTCATCAGAAAGCCTGCCCTCCCACCACTGCTGTTTGTGGTTTGAAAGTCAGTCTTGTGTCCCCAGATGTGATGAGCTCCCCGAATGCAGAGGCTGAGCATAGGTGTGTGTCAGCCCCCAGCAGTGTCCGGGACAGAGGTCTGCGGAGAGCACGTCATAGGCCACTGCGCCCTGCAGTCTAATTCTTTACAGCAGCTTCTGGTGGCGAGTCACTGGACCCAGCTCACGGTCAGGTGCTCTGTCATTGTCACAGTGAGTTCCCGTCTCTACCCCTGACATGAAAATACCACAGCTCTCCTTTCGGAACACGAACGAGTTCACAGGTTTTGGTAAGAGGTAGGTAGATGAAAATCACTTAGTACATTTGCGGGGCGGGGGGGTGGGGCAAGACAAAAACAACACCTTTAATTCCCCCTTCTCCTTCTCATGTCAGGAAGTTCATGCACCGAGAGTCGTTTCCTTGTCACTGAGACTCTGAAGTGTAAATGTCTGTGGCAGCAATGCAAACACGCGCACTCCGGCAGCAATGCAAACACGCGCACTCCGGCAGCAATGCAAACACACGCACTCCGGCAGCAATGCAAACACGCGCACTCCGGCAGCAATGCAAACACGCGCACTCCGGCAGCAATGCAAACACGCGCACTCCGGCAGCAATGCAAACACGCGCACTCCGGCAGCAATGCAAACACGCGCACTCCGGCAGCAATGCAAACACACACACGGAGTCCCAGAGGCTGAAAGCCCGTGACTGGAAACCGATAAAGGACGGCAAGACTGTTTGCTAAGAAATCGAGGAGCTGGCCCTGGCCGGTTTGGCTCAGCGGTTGGAGCGTCGGCCTGCGGTCCAGAGAGACCCGGGTTCGGTTCCCGCTAAGGGCACATACCTCGGTTGCAGTTTGTCCCCGGCCCTGGTTGGTCATGCAGGTGGCAGCCACTTGATGTGTCCCTTCACGTCGATGTTTCTCTCTCTCTCTCTTCCTCTCTCTCCCTCCCACTCTATCTGAACAAAAAATGGAAAAATGTCCTCGGGTAAGGATTAAAAAAAAAAAAAAGAAAGAAAGAAATCGAGGAGCTGACAGCTGGCCCACAGAGGGCTTCTGCTGCCCTCCAGGGACGCTTACCTGCCCCCAGATCCTCGCGTTCGCCACAGAGTCAAGTACTTATGTTCCAGATACCAGGCTCGCTCCTGGAACACCAGCTTGGTTCCGTACAACAGACAGAAACGAGGGAGGGCGAGAGGGGGGAACAGAGCAAATAGGAACATGTTAGAAAGTGCAGAATCCAAGGGGGTGGTGGGGAGAGAAACAGCACATTGTTACATGTCAGGCAATCACAGAAGTTAATATAGTACTTCCTTAATTAACATGGTCACATTTGGGACATGCAGTATATGGGTGTTTTTTTTTAAACCATTCTATGGAAAAATTAAAGCATATATATAAGCAGAAAGAATAGCCTAATCGACTCTTATGTCTCCATCTCCCAAATTCAACAAATATTAACTCACGGCCAGTCTTTTTTTTTTTTTTTTTCTGTATTGATTTTAGAGAAAGAAGGGAGAGGGAGAGAGAGAGATAGAAACATCGATGAGAGAGAACATTAATTGGCCACCTCCTGCATGCCCCCCACTGGGGATTTGGCCCACAACCTGCGCATGTGCCCTGACTGGAAATCAAACTGGTGACCTCTTGGTGCATGGGTCAATGCTCAACCACTGAGCCACACTGGCCGGGCATGGCCAGTCTTTTTCATCTGTAACCTCACCTAGTTCTCCCCCATCCCTGATAATTTAGAAGCAAAGTCCACTTATAAGATACGTTAACATATAAATTCATATTTCCGTTTGTTTTGCTTCACAGTTCAAGATGATATTATGCAGAATGTTTATTTCTAGTTTCATGAATTGAGAAGGAAAGCAAACAGTTGAGCACGTTTTGATTAAACTTTCTTAAAAATAGCATTACTCATTTATATTTTGTTTTAGGACGTTTCTCCTATTACATTTCAACAGAATTCCTTCTTTTTTTTTTCTTTAATCCTCACCTGAGGATATTTTTCCATTGATTTTCACATAGAGTGCAAGGAAGGGAGGGAGGGTGAGAGAGAGAGAGAGAAACATGGATGAGAGAGAGAGACACATCAATTGGCTGCCTCTCGCTCGACCCTGACCAGGGCTGGGGATTGAACTGCAACCAAGGTACATGCCTTTGACCGAAATCGAACCCAAGACTCTTTGGTCTGCTGGCCGATGCTCTAACCGCTGAGCCAAACCAGCCATGGCTGGAACTCCTTCTTGACATCAAAGCAATAATAAACGATTTTTCTTGTGGCAACAAGAAACTTTGAAGTTAGCTATTCAGTGAGCTGTTAATATTCAACAATTCCAAAATTACACAGTAGAAAGAATAGTATAATATACCTCCAGCCTCCTCAGCTATGACCCATGGCCATTCTTGTTTTATCTCTACTCACCGGTCCCCTCCTTCCTGTATTACTGTGAAGCAAAGCTCGGTCATGTCGTTTCATCCACGAGCATTTCACTGTGTACCTCTAAAAGGGAATGACTCTTTAATTTTTTTTTCTTTCCATTTTTTGTTCAGGTAGAGTGGGAGGGAGAAAGAGGAACAGAGAGAGAGAGAGAGAAACATCAACGTGAAAGGGACACATCGAGTGGTTGCCACCCGCACAACCAACCAGGGCCGGGGACAAACTGCAACCGAGGTACGTGCCCTTAGCGGGAACCGAACCCGGGTCTCTCCGGACCGCAGGCAGATGCTCTAACTGCTGAACCAAACCAGCCAGGGTGGGAATGACTCTTTAGAAGTAAGATAATCTCAAAGCCAAGCCAAGCAACAGCAAACCTCTTATTCAGAGTCAGATGGAGGTGACTGTCACACCACCAGAAAGACCTGATGTCTTCCATGGGTCATCAGACAGAAACCCCGCAGTTCGCAGTCATGTAGACAATACAGGCTCTTCCTTCCGGAGGTTCTGGGACACCCTTGAATTAGTGTCATCATGAAGAGCCTCAACTCTTCAGTCTGCCCAGAAAGAGTTACAGTATGGCTTAGCCGCCTGTTTATGAAATATATTTAAGATTAATTATAGTTCTTTTATGACCTCGCCAAAGTTCTGGGCACTAGCTGCGTGGTGACTGTAAGCTTCTTTTGGCTCTTTTATATAACAGCTTTTAGAGAAAGCTTTTAGCTGACCCCCAGACAGTGAGAGCAACTGAAAAATACTACAACACATCCAGAAAACATGCTTTCTTACAAAAATAATAAATTGTATAGATGATGTGACTAAACTGAATCACATGTCTCTAAATGAACTTATCACTACAAAAAAATCACTGTGGATTCCTAGGTGCAGAAAGTGAATCCCCATTCTTATTCCCCGTGGGTCTACAAAGATAAAGGACAAGGATAAGGGACCAGAGCCAAGGTGGTAGAAGTAAGCCTTTTTTTAAAAAAAAGAAATAATCTAGCTCATCTTCTCACTCAGTTCAGAATCCCGTGTAAGCCGATGTTCAGCTAAGAACCAGACAGTGTGTTCACCTTAGGCTGATTCCAGCAGAGTGTGGTAAGTGATCTACAAAGGTGGGGGGGCGCGGCGAAAGGGCAGCACCCCAGGCTAGGACGCTGTGGCTGCAGGCTCAGAGTGAGGAGGGCAGGGAGTGGCTACTGCACCCTGGAGGAGAGCTATGTAGACAGGGACACCTTACAAGGAGCTGTGGCCTTCAGCCTAGGAGCACAGAGCCCCAAGGGGATCCCACAGGAAGACAGGCAGGGCTATCCCCACCGCATCCTCCTCCCTGCTCCAGCTGGAGCTTTCTGTGCAGAGGGAAGATTCTGCTGATGCAGGTCACTTCCTGGACCCAGAGCAGGCGGAGAGGGCGGAGGGTAGCGCTGGAGAGGCAAGCGGCCGAGCTCATCTCTAACACCTGGGGCAGATGGTCATCCAGCCTCCAGGCCAGTTCATCTGACTCAGGCCCAAGCCCACATGGCCCCACAGAGCTCCTAACAAGCCCCTGACTGCTGACACCATTCCCAGGCTTTGTCCCCAGCTGTGGCCTTAGCCAGGCTCACACCAATTTAAAATGGGCAAGAAAATTAACAGACTACACTAGAGAGGATATACAGATGGCAAAAAAAAGCACGTGAAAAGATTTTCAGTATCATTAGCCATTAGGGAAATGAAAGCTACAAACGCAACAAGATATTCCTATGCCTCCACTGGAATGGCAAAAAATAAAAATGCGGATAACACCAAGTGTTGTTGAGGATACAGACAACTGGGTCTCATACACTGGGAATGTAAAGTTTTCATAAAGGTAAGCATACATTTACCACGTCTCCTGCTAAATTCACTCTTAGGCATTTACCCTAATGCAGTGGCTCTCAACTGTGGATGATTTTTTCCCTCCACACGCATTTGGCAATGTCTGCAGACATTTTGCTTGTCATAACTGGGAGAATCTAGGGGCATCTACTAAGTAGGGGTCAGGGATATTTCTAAAAACACCCGACAGCCCTGGCCGGTTTAGCTCAGCAGTTAGAATATTGGCCCGCGGACCAGAGAGATCCGGGTTCAGTTTCCACTAAGAGCACGTACCTCAGTTGCACCTTGTTCCCAGCCCATGGGATTGTGTGGGTGGCAGCCAGTGGATATGTCTCTCTCACATCAATGTTTCTCTTGCTCTTTCTCCCTCTCTCCTTCCCGCTCTATCTGAAGATGAATGCAAAAATGTCCTCGGGTGAGGATAAAAATAAATAAAAAAATAAAAATACCCTACAAAGCACAGGGCAGCCTCCATAAAAAAGAAGTATCTGGCCCAAAATATCAAGACTGAGAAACTCTGCCCTAGAGAATGAAAACTTACGTTTACATACTATATCAACCTGTACATGAATATTTATAGCAGCTCTACTCACAATCAGCAAAAACAGAAAATAACCCAAATGTCCTTCACTGGGCAAAGAGATAAAAAAAAAAATGGTGGTATATCCACACCGTGGAGTACTACTCAGCAATGAAAAAGAAAAACCATTGATGTGTGCATGAACTTGGCTGAATCTTAAAGACATCATGCCAAGTGAAAAAAAGTCAATATCCAAAGATTACAAATTGTATGAGTCCACTCATATAACATTCTCAAAGAGACAGAGCTATAGTGATGGACATTAAGTCATTGGTCACCAGGAGTTATCAGATGAGGGAAAGGATGATTACTAAGCCACACCACGAGGGATTATTTTAGGATGGTCAAATCATTCTGTATCTTGATCATGGTGGAAGTTACAGGATTCTATCAATGTTCTAATATTTATAGAACTATATACCCCATAAACAAGGTTATGTTGCTGTGTAGTAATTAAAATGTATCATCTTTCTATGTACGCCTGTCCTCCTTGGTTACTGCAAACTCCAGGCTGAAAATAGCTATATCCTCTAATGGGTCTCAGTATTAAATCCTTGGTCCCTGATCTCCAACTGAAACTTGCCTCTTACCTTCCTAGTTTCCCATAGCAGTGTGCGTTTTCCTCTGTTACGCATTCTGCCTCTTGGTGTAATTATTTGTCCATGTCAACAGCTCGTGCATCCTGGAATTTCAGCAGTGCCCAGCCCAGCATCAGGGCCCTCTGTGCATTTGTGGGACTGAAGAGCTCAGAGAGCCTGGGCTCCCAGGGGCACAAGTCCACTGGGACCAAGAACAGAAAAAATGGAGGTTGCTGCGATTTATGACAAGTAGGCAGCTTATATCCATGGCCCAGGCTGCATAATAAGCAAGAAGCTGAAGCAAAAGGACCGAGCTGGACCTCTAGTGTCAGAGAAGATGAACAAAGCTTATTAATGCACGGTAATACCAGCGTGAGATCACAACAGCTTCCCCAGCAACAACCCAGTTCTCTCACGGTGATAAAGTGCTCTGCCTTCTGCCTCAGACTTTAGCCTTTTGGGATCTGCGATGCTGCCTGGTAAAATTGATGGCCAGTGGCACCATCTCCTAGTTTAAGGAAATTCTTCCAGCATTAGCAAAAAGTATTGGCTTTGCAATGTCTAAGGGCATTCCTTGCAACAGGAAAGTGATTTTTAAAAATGGATCAGACTGGAACGATGCCCATCTCTAATGCATATAGTTCACCTGCCCGGTCCCCCCAAAGCCACCAGCTCCAGGTGTAAGCTCACCACCTTTCAGAGTTGAGTTCATCTTATTGATAC